CTGGGTTGGAGTCCCGGGGGAACCAGGACCAGAGGGTTCTGGGTTCGAACCCCGGGGGAACCAGGACCTTTCTGGGTGGAGTCTGCATGTTCTCCTGTGTCTGTGGGTTCTCTCCGGGTTCTCCGGCTTCCTCCCACAGTCCAAAAACCTGCATGTTAGGCTGATTGGAGATTGGGGAAATTGCCCTTAGGAGTGAATGTGAGTGTGAGTGGTTGTTGGTCCTTGTGTGTCTCTGTGTGTCCCTGTGATGGACTGGGGACTGTCCAGGGGGACCCCGCCTCTCCCCGTTGACCACTGGGATAGGCTCCAGTTCCCCCCGCGACCCCATCAGGGAACAAGCGGTATTGATAATGGATGGATGGATGGATGAGTGCAATGGGTGATTGGGAAAACTTTTAACAGTGAGAAACAGACTATGAATTGTTAAAGAAAAATAATAATGACTCATTTCCCTAACCCTGTGCTGCTGCGTTTAGGTGGAGTCCACGGACACCACCTCGGTGGTGACCGTCCCCGTGAGCCTGCGGACCCACTCCGGCCGCTACACCATCACCGCCAAGAACAAGTCCGGGCAGAAGCACCTGAACGTGCGCGTCATCGTGCTCGGTGCGTGAGCCTCCTCTGAGTTTCTGGTTCGGTTCTGAACTGCGGATGTCTTTTTTTTGTTGTTGTGATTCACTGTTTTTTTTATTTAAGAACAAATTCCCAAGCTGGGAAACAGGAACATTACAGAGTCAGTGATCCATACCCACCCGCCCCGCCCCATCCTTAGAGCATCTCACAGCATCTATAAAGTATCACTATAGTATAGTATCACTATATAGATGCTGTGACACCACAGAGACACTCAATGAAAACCTGACCCCAAACTCACCGTAACATTGAGGTTTTTTGTCTTAAGGGATGAGGTATGGGAATGTTGTTTATATGGTTCAATGTATAAAAGTGAACAGAAAATGAAAACAAGACCTTTTTGACCTTTTTGATACAGGTCAAAAATGGGAGAAAAAAAGTTAAAAAATAACAAAATAAAATAAATAAAATAAATAAAAATACAAACAAAAAAGGTAGAAAGCATGCGAGACATCTCATTGTTCGTGATTCTCCGGTAAGTCTGTGACTCCCTCTGCAGTTCTTTCCCACATATGTAATGTTGACAGTCTCGCCCCATGGATTCTTGCAGTAGACAGTTCCATCATCATTATAACATCATTAACATCATTTTCTGCCTGTGGATGTCTAAACTCTGTCTTGCTTCCTCTCGCAGACGTTCCCGGACCTCCGAAGGACCTGAGGGTCACCGACGTGACTCGCTCCACCATGAGGCTGATCTGGAAGCTGCCCGAAACCGACGGAGGGGAGAGAATCAAGAGCTACTTCATCGAGAAGAAGGCCGTCACCGACAAAGCCTGGACCAAGGTGAGCTTCCCCTCACCCCTCAATCTCTCTGCTTTTTCTAAACTCGCCTGTTTAGAAAAAGCTGAGAAATTGTTTTCTCCAGTTATCAGAAGAGGCTCAACCCTTTAAAGCCTGATCCAAGAAAAAGCAAAAAAACAGAAAATTACTTTTTTTTGGTTTGAAGTCTTTATTTGGCCTTTTAAGAAAATATGTAAAAAGAAAAAAACAGAAATACATTTTTGATATTAATAATTTATTACTATGCGATAAGTCCAGATTATGTTTTGTGTATCTTCTGCCCCCTGTTATCAGGTGTATCTGATTGTGTACAATAGGATTTAGAGCAAAGTTTTTACAGTTAAATTATGCAAAAGGAGTCAGACACAAAACATTTCAGAAACCGTATCTGTCCCGGGACAGCTGCAAAGGCCAGGCGAGGGGGGGTCAGGAATCAGACTTAACTACAGGTTCCTGTTTTAGGAATCTCTTTTTTTTCTCCTTTCCTGTCCCCCGGTCATGTTTGGCATTAGCCATATTACTTATGTAACAAAAATAAATCCTAAATAAATAACAACCGTATGACACATTTGGCATTACAGGGTTAAAATGGCAGAATTTGGCTCAGGACCCAGTTCAAACATCCTCCTGTTATCTGCGGACAGTCAGAGGACTGGGATTGTGCCTAATGTACTGATTCTGTCTGGGATTGTGCCTAATGAACTTTTTGTTCCCCAGGTGAATGCTGCCTGTGCCAGCCAGGCCTACGTGGTTCCCGGGCTGCTGGAGGGCCAGGACTACCTGTTCCGGGTCCGAGCCGAGAACCGGCTGGGCTTCGGCCCGTTCACCGTCACAACCGACCCGGTCCGGGCCCGAGACCCCATCTGTAAGCAGCCACCAGCCAAGTCAGACCTAGAATTTACCTCCATTCAAAACTGAGAAGTTTCTATTCTCTTTGTTTTTGTTTTGTACCGTTCATTTTGGTTTGCTAGGTTTTGTTTTTTAATTTTTTTTTTGGTTCTGTTTTCTTTAGTTTAGATTTTTTTTTCATTTTTGTTTGTGCTGTCCTGTTTGTTTGGTTATGCTTTTGTTTTGTTATTTCCTGGGTCTTTTTTGTTTTTGTTCATTTTGGTTTGCTAGGTTTTGTTTTGGTTCTGTTTTCTTTAGTTCAGATTTTTTTTTCATTTTTGTTTGTGCTGTTCTGTTTGTTTGGTTCTGCTTTTGTTTTGTTATTTCCTGGGTCTGTTTTGTTTTTGTTTATTTTGCTTTGCTAGGTTTTGTTTTTTTCAGTTTTTTGGTTCTGTTTTCTTTAATTTAGTTTTTAGTTTAGTTTAGTTCATTTTTGTTTGTGCCGTTCTGTTTGTTTGGTTATGCTTTTGTTTTGTTATTTCCTGGGTCTTTTTTGTTTTTGTTCATTTTGGTTTGCTAGGTTTTGTTTTTTTCAGTTTTTTGGGTTCTGTTTTCTTTAATTTATTTTTTAGTTTAGCTTTGTTAATTTTTGTTTGTGCTGTCCTGTTTGGTTGGTTCTGCTTTTGTTTAGTTATTTCCTGGGTCTTTTTTTGTTTTTGTTCATTTTGGTTTGCTAGGTTTAGTTTTTTTCAGTTTTTTGGGTTCTGTTTTCTTTAATTTAGTTTTTAGTTTAGCTTTGTTCATTTTTGTTTGTGCTGTTCTCTTTGTTTGGTTCTGCTTTTGTTTTGTTATTTCCTGGGTCTTTTTTTTGTTTTTGCTCCGTTCTTAATGCAGAACATGCCTCTCTTGACCCGGGTGGGTTTTAATCTTCTCTTTCAGACCCGCCGGACCCCCCCACCAAGCTGAAGGTGAACCTGGTGACGAAGAACACGGTCACTCTGAGCTGGGAGGCGCCCAAAAACCACGGCGGCTCCCCGGTGAAGCACTACATCATCGAACGCCTGAGCTGGGACACCAGCGGCAAAGAGAAGGAGACCTGGAAGCAGTGCAACAAGAGAGACGTGGAGGAGCTCAGCTTCGTGGTGGAGGACCTGAAGGAGGTGCGGCTCCCCTCTGCTGCTGCCTGTTGGGGCTTTTAAGGGTCTTCCCCTAACAGAAACCCTCTGTGTCCCGTCTGGGGGAATGTCTGGTGTGTCCTCATGTCTTGATTACCTACTGTGTTCACCTGGGGTTCCCCTCCCTCATGTGTTTAAATAGTCCTCGTTTTGCCATGTCCCTGGCCATGCCATGTTCCATGCCTTGTGTTTGTTCCCTCTGTTCCTGATCCCCCCCACCCTCCCGTGGTCCTCATGTGTGTTTTAGGGCCGTCTGGGAGCCGTCCCTTGAGGGGGGGGCTCTGTCAGGTCTGGGGGAATGTCTGGTGTGTTGTCATGTCTTGATCACCTATTGTGTTCCCCTGGGGTTCCCCTCCCTCATGTGTTTAAATAGTCCTTGTTTCCCATGTCCTGTGCCAGTGTGTTTGTGAGTTTTTCGTCACCCCTCGCCACGTAAGGTTTTGATTTTTTGCACCTTTGCCATAGCCTTGTTTACTCCTTGACATTTTGCCACAGTCTAGCTTTTCGTGCCATAGTCTTGTTAACTTTATTTAGGATTTTTGCCATAGTCTTGTTTTGATACTTTGCCACAGTTTTGTTCACTTTATTTGATACTTTGTTCATAGTTTTTTCACAGCCATGTTTTGTCACAGTCATGTTTTTTCACAGTCATGTTAATCTTTCTTACTTTGTTCATAGTTTTCTCACAGCCTTGTTTTGAACTTTGCCCACATCCACTCCGTTTGAGTGCGTTTTTGTTCCAAATAAGCCCTTGTTTCTGAATCTCCACGACTGAGTCCTCCCTAAGGAGATTTCACAGTGGATTCACCTGCGTGACGCTCTGTTGGTTTGCAGGGAGGAGAATACGAGTTCCGGGTGAAAGCGGTGAATGCTGCCGGGTCCAGCCGGCCCTCGGCCACCGTGGGACCAATGGTCATCAAGGACCAGACATGTGAGTGTGACGGCACTCCCCGATGGCCAAAGCTCACCTTAGGGCAGTGCTTCTCAAATAGTGGGGCGATACCTGGGGGGGCGTGTGACCCTGGGGAACAGCCTTTTTTTTTTGGGCCGTACTAGTATAAAGTGTAATAGCGCATCCACTCCAGTAGGGGCAGTGGCGTCTCATCGTTATTTCAGTGCAACATTTTACGACTTAAAGACAACAGGTTAGCCTCGGTTAGCATCTGTGTTCTGTCTGTAGCCTCCGTTATTCAACATAACCCCCCCAACATGGAAAAGTTTTAACAGATGAAAAGAAAAGCGGAGAGAGACAAAGATAACGAGACAAAAGAAAGTCACTCAAAAGCTAAGTGTTTTATATATTGTGCTCCTGAGTTAGTGTTGCTTAACTGAACATAAATTAGTTATTATTTTTGTTGTTTTTGTAGTTTATTAGTTATTATAATCATTAAATATTATTTATTGATTTGATTTAATTTTGCAATGGTGCAATTAGTTGGTCAAACATGTTTACCGTTTAAACAAGGTTTTATTATTTTTAATTTCAGGCATTGATGCACTTAAAATCTTTTCTGTTGCAGACTTAAAACACGATTTAATAAAGTTATTCTTTGTAGGTTTGACCAAATTTCTTTCTTTTTTTCTTTTCTTTATTGTTAATAGGGATAAAATGTTATGCAGAGATGGATAGTGACGGTGGGGAGTGGGGGGGCGCGAATAGTTTTCTTCTTGCTAGGGGGGGCGTAACAGAAAATAATTGAGAAGCACTGCCTTAGGGAGGTGTCTGACTGGTCAAACCCCCCAGGTGCCCCCACCATCGAGCTGCGGGAGGCCCTGGAGGGCGAGGAGGGCTGTGACGTGAGCCTGGTGGCCAGGGTCAGCGGCTGCCCCTTCCCCTCCCTGAGCTGGACCAGGGCCAGCCCGGCCACGCCCGAGGAGAAGGCCGCCGTCCAGTACGACCAGCGCACCAGCAAGCTGGTGACGCACGACAAGTGCACGCTGCTCGTCACGCAGGCCACCCGGCTCGACAGCGCCCTCTACAGCCTGACCGCCAAAAACAGCCTGGGGACCGCCACCAAGGACATCAAGCTGGCCGTGCTGGGTGAGAAACACACGCCATACACACACCAGGAGGAAGAAAAGCAAAGGCAGGGAGGCTGATAGAGGTGCTCTGGCCTGAGGCTTTGCTCCGGCTTCAGACTCCACCTTTACTGTGTTGTTTAAAGAGTTAAAGTGCTTCTTTTCCACTAAGGCACCAAATGATGCGTCAGAATGACGGCCAGAAGGTCAAGTTTGGCACAGCTTCTTTTCGTGTTTCTTAAGCTACTTTCCAGTTAGCATCAAACTTAATAGCTCAGTTAGTGGTCAGAGATGGTTCTCTCAGATCTCAGAAGCTTTCTGATGTCAGGATTTCACGCTGTGCTCTTTAACACCCCCACCCCCCTCCACCTGAGGCTCAGCTCTGTCCTGAGGCTCTACTCCGGCTTCAGACTACACCTTTAGTGTGTTGTTTAAAGAGTTAAAGTGCTTCTTTTCCACTAAGTCACCAAATGATGCGTCAGAATGAAGGCCAGAAGCGCAAGTCTGGCACAGCCTCTTTTCGTGTTTCTGCATTTAGCTAATAGCTCAGTCAGTGGTCAGAGATAGTTCTCAGAAGCTTTCTGATGTCAGGGTTTCACTCTGCGCTCTTTAACACCCCCACCTCCTCCCCCCAGAGGCTCAGCTCTGTCC